CTGTAAAGTGGTTATATTTGACGGGGTTAAATTTTAGCGCATTCGTGATTTTGACAATTTAACGGTGTTTAAATTTCACGCACTGAGTACAAAATCAAAACAATGTCCAGCTACGTAAATGTTCATCTGTTTCACGTCCTGTCTGCTCAGTTGTTTGGCCTTTTGTTTATTGTTGCGATTTTCACACTTTTTTGATGAAAATAAATGTGCTAATGTTTTTTGTAAACAACCAACCACAAGCAGGAAGTTTAGCTTAAATCGGTATAAAGTAGAGTGTCTGTGAAAGACGCATCGCTTTACTTTTAGGAGATCGCTCTACGCATTACGTTCGCTACTCACTAATAGTTATACTAGTACTACAATTCAATTAATCATGGCTGGCAGCCTGATGCATTGGTTAAAAAAAGCACCATTGCCTGCTCAAACTGAACCAGGTTTGCTCGATCCGAACGACACACAAGACATCGAAAAAAGCAAGCTGCCTCAGGATGCCATTTCCGTGATAAACGAAGAAATCACCGTAGCAAGTAGGAAACGAAAACGTGGTAATTATGAGCACTACGATGACACAACCAGAGCAAAAATTGCAAAGTTTGCAATCAACAATGGAGTGATGAATGCCACGAGAAAATTCAGTAAGGAATTTGGAAAGCCGATCAGCGAAAGTACCGTTCGTGGTATGAAGAGGTCTTACCTAAAAGAGGCCCGCTACGGAACCGAGAACATCAACAAACTACCAGCAAAGCGTGGGCGTCCTGTAATGTTAGGTGATGAACTCGACTCTAAAGTGCAATCCTATGTACGTCAACTTCGCATCAAAGGTGGTGTTGTAAATTCGTCAGTTAGTATCGCTATTGCAAGAGGTGTATTGCTACATGAAAACCGAAGTTTGCTGGGTGAATATGGAGGCCATGTGAGTTTAAGCGTGGACTGGGCAAAGTCATTGCTACATCGTATGGGGTACGTCAAGAGAAAAGGGACAAAGGCAGTGACAAAAGTGGTTAATGATTTTCCAGCTGTTAAAGAAAAGTTTCTGAACCGTATAAAAGAGACTGTCGAAAAATACAACGTTCCCCAAGAGCTTGTCATCAATTGGGACCAGACTGGTGTTGCCATTATTCCCGCGGGAGAATGGACCATGGAAGCAGAGGGGAGTCGCCAAGTGTCAATAACCGGCCTCGATGACAAGCGTCAAATAACAGCTGTATTTGCCGCGTCTGCTACGGGAGAATTTTTACCACCACAGCTACTCTATCAGGGAAAAACCGATCGCTGTCATGCTAACTACAAATTTCCCGAGTCTTGGGACATTTTCCACACTGAAAGCCACTGGTCTAATCACGATTCTATGATGCGATACATCGACAAGGTGTTTATCCCCTACGTTAAGGCGACGAGAGCGAGGCTGCAGTTACCGCCCACACAACAAGCCGTCGCCATTTTTGATGTGTACAAGGCACATCGGGGTGAAGAACTGCTGAATAAATTCCGTGAAAGTAACATCTCTGTCGTATTTGTTCCAGCATGCTGTACAGATCGCCTGCAGCCCTTGGATTTAGCAGCAAACAAAGTCTTCAAGGACAAGATGAAGCGAGAATTTCAGCTATGGTACGGAGATCGCGTATGCTCTGCATTGGGCAATTCTGTTGATGATCCAACATCAACGTTAGATCTACGGCTAAGTTCAATGAAACCACTTCATGCAAAATGGTTGGTCAGTGCAGTACAGCAAGTTTCCCAACAGCGTGAACAACTTGTAGAAGGCTTTGCACAAGCTGGAATTCTGAATTGTTTTCAGTAAGAGAACTGAATTTTCTCGTACTAGTATTGTATTTACAGTGACGTCCTCGCCATTATTTACATTTTAAAAATACTACTACTAGTATTTAACATTGTTATAATTTATTTCTGTATGTACAATAAAGCAAGATGAATAGTAATATTTCTTATTTTACTAGTATTATAATGTGTGGATGAATGAAAATTGGTCACGCAATACCCTATACTAGTACTAGTACCTACATGTACTGGTGCATTCGACTTCCTGTCCCAATGACGACAATGATAAATGGCGGTGTTTTAATTTCACGCACTTCTAGTTTGCGTTAAATACGCGAAAATTAAACCCCGTCAATAATTACCCATTTTACAGTATGTATTGTCATTGTGCCAAATTAGAATCATACTTGATTGTCCAATAATATACTTACTGTTTTTCTGGCCATACAACAGCAACTTTTTTAGTCTTCTTGACTGATACAACAAAAACATAAAACAAATATTTAATAACTGCAAATACATGTAACCATATTGAACAATATACATTATTAACCCACCAAGTGCTAATTACCTTGTGCAACATAAAAGTTTATACTTTATTAACCTAGCGAAATATTAACCTCAAACAAACTAGTAACACACAAAGCAACATATACATTTATTAACCTTCTAAGGTGAGAGGTGTTAAACAATTCTACTTACTCATCAGCTTTTTGGGTTGTTTCAGTAGTAAACCTGCAGATTCACACCAACCAACTGGAAATATGTCATGTGACTCCACATCAACGATATGATTGGGTAGTTTCCAGCCATCAAAATTCAACCACATATGTCTATCAATTATCTTTGTTACTGTGGCAACACAGATTTGATTAAGGTTGAATGGATTTACAGCCTCTAGTTTCATACCACGTTGAAATTCATGATCAGGTGATACCTAGAACCAACAAAAAAAATCTGTGAACTAGCTGCACTTTTACTTAATACTGCATGAGCTGTAATTTATTTGTTGTCCTGTTAATATTTCATGTCTACACACAGGGATTGCAAATTTTCGGCGAATAACTAAAGGATAACATCAAAAGTTCAATGTAGGATAAAAAACTTAATTCCTTTAGTCCCCCCCCCCCTCGAAACTTAATTGATAAATATTGATCATGGTGTCAGACTACATTCCTCATTAAATACAAATTGATAATCGGACAGTTGTATAACATAGCAGTTGACTGTCGGGTGGGTGTAAAAAGCCCTGAAATTGACCTCATTTGACACACATATTTACACTTGGACTAAACCATTTTCTGGTTATTTTTTGATTTTTTTGACTTCATTAAAAAATAAAATCGTATTTTGTAGGATGGAAACTTTTTGAGGTCACCCCACCCCCACCCCAAACTAAAGCAAATAAGTTTTTTATCTGACATCGATCTTTTGACGTCGTCACTAACACTATAAAGCAATGCCAAGTAGTATAAGCATTTATAAGAATTTAAATGTTTTTTGGTATTAATAAACAACATGTGATTCTCTGAAAATGAAATATCATTATCTTAACCAGCTGCACATGAACATGTGAATATCAAAATACTTGAGCTAAGCGTGAACTTGTAAAAGCGAGTTAGAACCATTGTAAGTTTGAATTTGGACTAGTAAGACAAGTTTTGTTACTTATACTGGACTAGTGAACATTGTTCAGAAATCTCAGCATCTGCTACATACAAATCTGGGGAGGGAATATACACTGCCCTCTATGGCAAAAACTATTGTTTTTTAAAGAAGATCAGATTCATTGCCGAGCTATTACAATCAAAACCAGGAGTAGTCAACACCAATAACAACATATTTATGTTAAGAATGATACATTTGTAGTAGTTTTTTTTGACCAGTAACAGAGTGATGGCAGATGATACTAGGTTTTACTTATACTGTATGAACAAGACAAAGTACAGCCAGTATTTTTATCAACAGTGTAGCAACATCGCCCAGTTTCAGAGACTGTAAAGCTGGTCTTTGCAATGTGGATCTTAGGCTTTAATGTAAGCATGATACTGAACCAACAGTTGTAATCATCCTTATCTGACAGGACAAAATTCTTCCAAGCCAAATACAGACAATGTATACTGCTGTCAGTTGGGATAGAACCCACAATGTCTGTGATTTATTGATATAAACTCATCCCCACTGATGGAAGTTACATTTAGCTGCACTATGACTTCACACTGTAACTTTAAACTTATTCCAGATTCAAGACTTTGTGACAATGCAGGGATGTCTATGAATCATGTTATTTTATAGATTATTTCAATTTAATACATTATATGTATCAACCACATAACCCACCACCACATAACAATGACACAGGCTTTCCTTCTGACCCACCACATAACAATGACACAGGCTTTCCTTCTGACCCACCACATCACAATGACACAGGCTTTCCTTCTGACCCACCACATCACAATGACACAGGCTTTCTTTCTGACCCACTACATAACAGGCTTTCCCCTTGTGACAAATAAAAGGTAATGGTTACTTACAGTTCTGAATAAATTCTTTGAAGCAGCCTGTGAATTACAATGTTTGAGGTATGCATTCCAGTCAAAGCTTGTACAATCATATCCTAGGATAGAACACAATAATATATCAGGGGATTTTCTAGAAAAAAACTATAAGAGGAGGCACTGCAATTCAGCAGAGCCACCAAGTGGGGGAGATAGGGTTCTCCCTACCAGGGTGTGGAGTTTTTGATAATTCTAAGTTAAAATGGAGCATTCTATGACTTCCTTCCAGACAGGTCACAGTTGAAGACTGTGGCCACATGTGATCCCTGGTCATTCAGAATTTTATGGTTGCAGAGGATCTGCTCCCCAGGGTAAGGGGGCACATGGCCATGACATGAGGACGCTGCGCCCCTGTTTCCCTTGTTTAAAAAAATCCCTGATATATAATACAAGAACAATATGAACTTAAGTATTCCATGCAAATTATGTATTAAATTTGATGTTGTATTATGTGGTACGATAAGTGACCACAGATTACAATGTGATATCTAGATAAGTGCCACAGGATCATGATGATGTACCTGGATATGAGGAATGGGATTATAATGTGTTACCTGGATATAATACAGCTGGGTGAAACTCACCATTAGGAATTTTAATCTGTACATTATGCTGCTTACACCATTCTACATAGAACAATCCACCACATTCACCATAACCAACAAACTGTATTGGAGTCTTATCAGCACTTAAGTCATCAATTTCCACCAAGAAATAATTACTATTGAAAATTTTTGTGATGGTTGCTGGACAGATCTGTGATGGTGCTTTAGGGTTAATGGCTTCCAATTTCATACCAACACGGAAATAGTGTTCTCTAACGGTTTCCTGATGCTGCGAAATAAAATTTTAAGAACGATAAATGCTGTATCAAATAATAGTAGATACTTGACAATGTGGCAATAACAATAGGGGAACTAATTGATGTAGAGATCAAAATTAAACCCCTAACTGGCACATTTAACATGGGACAGATATTGTTTGTTCTTGTAGACACATTGTTATCAGTTTCTTGCTAACATGGAAGGCAAAGCAGCAAGTAGAAAATTTTGAGAACAAACACTTGTTTTCAGAATAAATCTATGCAATTTTCACTGAAAATCACAAGAAATTCTTTGGTAATTATGATGAGTATTTTATTCCTATCAGAAGAACATGCAAGACAATTCATAATACTAGATGCACATCTTCAATGTCAATGTTATCTCAGATCTGATAATCATAATAAGCTACAAAATGAACACACATTTTTGATAATTGAATTAATTAATATTAATTAAGTATTTTACCTTGAAGAATCCTTTTGGTAGTGGTTTTGTGCTTGCAGCAAGTCCAGCTTTCTGATGAATATATGACCATTCTGGGGTAGAATATGGTAATCCTGCAACTAGAACTGGTTTAAAAAGTAGAAATTACTAACATGGATAAAAAGCTATCTAAAGCAAAGTATAGAGAGAGTTGGGAGTAAAAATGACCAAATCTATCCAAGTCCAGCCAAGGTATACACATAACAACTAGGTTTGTTGTATTCAAGAAGATAACAAAAATAGCACTTTTTTTAACCATAAGTGACAAAAATATTCACATAATTTAAATGACAACAGACAATCAGTAATATGTATAGTTTCGCAAGACATTTGTCGACAGTGAAATGTGTTATATTAGTATTTACTGAAATCTAGTAGGCAATGTGTGTTGTTCACATTCTCTACTAGTATAACGTTTGTTTCATTTACTCTGAGATGGTAGAGCTATTGTATGACATATCTGGTGGCACGATTTTCTACTAATTTTTGAAAATATGTAATTAAGCTTCAAACGTTGTATCTGAATGTTGTTGATCAGTTCTGATTCCTATTTTGGGCTCAAATTTAAGTACTTCTACAAATTCCTAGGAACAAGACTTACCTGCTGGGGGTTTGAGAACTATACCCTTATCTTGATTCTTAGCAGCCCACCCCATGGGATGTATTCGGTGTGACTGGTAGAATAACCAAAAATCATGTGCATCTGTATTTGCTTGGGATCCTTCCCATCTAAGTAGTAATCTACCACTGTGGTTTTCTTTTACTGTAGCTATCCAGACTTCAAGTGGATTTAACACATCTGTCACTTCAACTCTCATACCAGCTTTGATTTGCTCAGCAAGAACTTTACCAGCATCCTAATTAAATAAACACAAAAATAATCGCATATTTTACCACTACTATATTAATCTTCTTTTAATTCGTTTTTGTGATAACTTTCTCAATGAACCGTTCGCAAACACATAAGCTGTCTTTCACTGCACAATAAATGGTGATAATGTCAATTGTAAAGATAGAAAAGTAAGTAAGTTTTAAGACAGGTACAGTAATATCACACTATTACACTCGAGCACGTTTTTATGGCGGGTGAGTCATGTGTATAGAAAGAATAGATACCAGTTAAGCTTACCCCTTCTAATAAGAATACAGGAGCTGTAATTGCACCAGTCAAGTCTTGAATGAGAAAATCACTCCAATTATCACATCTATATTTTATTTCTGTAAAACAATAATTTGCATTTAAGTCTTCACCTCAATATTGGAGCTAATATTGACTGTTGTTTCATGAAACACTGACATCAAAATAAATATATTCTTATATGACTCTATAGAAAAGGGATAGGAAAAAAATTATCCACAGGCATACAATTCCAATGCCTTTTGTACCCTCAAGCACAGAGAAGTACTAGGGGGTGATCTCATATTCAAACATGAGGGTCAAACCTACGAAAACCCAAACCGCCCTAAACCGCCCGTACAAAACCCAGTTTCGCGGTTCGTAAGTTTAAACAATAGACAGTGCGGTTCAGAACGACTGCACGAATTTGCATAAAAACTGCGGTTCAAACCGATCTCATTCACACCTCATTCAAGCTGTTGTTTATTTTTAAGATTGACAAAGTTTACATTGTTTTTTGAAGACTAGATAGTTGTCTCTAAAATGTGTCGATTTATTGGTGTACAGTAGTCATTTTACCGTGTGCCTTGCCTAAAAAAACACT